TCAACCAAAGTCGCTCAAAATCTAATGATTTCTATTCCTCGAGACCCCCAATCATCCTGTAAAGTCAGATTTTGAATTAAGTTTCTACGATGAGCGCAATCTTGCTAACAAATTTTGCGTACGATGTACAACGTACGACGTACAGATTAACAAAAACCATGCTCAAAACGGCCTGATTCGGGTTCTCTGACCTCAGAAACGTCCAGAAAACATGTTTCTGAAGTTTTCAAAATTTTAACCGATTACAATACTTTTCACCTTACACTATGTGTGCGGAAAAATAAAACCAATTTAAGCTAATGCGTTGTTTTAAAGTCCGTATCATTTTTCATGACGAAACACACACGCTATTGCGTAAAAGTGTTGAAGTGAATTTTTGGAAACATTTTTCACAACATTATTTTCATATGTTCATTTCAGGAAAATTGGTAGCAGCGTCACAACGGTGGATTTCTGTTTGAAACAAATTGACATTAAACTTTCACAAAAGTGTACTTTTTAGTCGAAATGGCTGCAAACTTTAAACATTGGAAATCACAGTGAGTTAAGCAAAAAAAAAAATTCCATTTGAATTTAAATCACATAATACTTTTGTTGTTCCACCGAAAATAGTATTTTCAGTTATGCAATGCTCATAAATGATAATAACAAGCATGCTGGATCTTTATATTTCTTATCTCGTGTGATAAGCAATTTATTTTACTCACATTTAAATTTTTTATTAAATATTAGATTTCATATCTTAACATGGAATGTAAGCTCAAAGTTTCCCGAAAATTTACCGGTACATATACTGTTGGGATTGGAGAAGAAAGCCGATAAGGACACACACCGGCCGGATTTGTTCGTGATAGGGTACAATTTGATGTGATTTATGCATTTTAACTGTGTTCACAAGACATTTTCAATCATTTTCAGACTACAAGAGATAAACAGCCAGCCACAGAGTATGGTCAAAGGTTTATTCAAAGACGATCCATGGACACAACGATTTAAGGAGTTACTTAATGAGCGTGGATATGTTGCAATCAAATCGTTGCAAATGCAAGGTTTGCTTTTGGTCATTTTTTCAAAGCGACAACACTTACTGCATGTACGCGAAGTCGAAACCGAATACACTCGAACTGGTCTAGGGGGCATGTGGGTTCGTATTAGCGAAATTAACTTTTTTTTTCTTCTTTTTGTGACTAAGACAAGAACTGATAATTTACAGGGAAATAAAGGAGCAGTGTGCGTTCGATTTAAATTGTATGGCGTATCTGTTTGTTTAGTAAACTCACATTTGGCTGCTCATGATCACATGCTGGACGAACGAATTAAAGATTTTGAAAAGATTGTTGACGAGCACAAATTCCATATTAAAAAAACACAAACTATTTTTCAACATGAGTAAGTGTGCTACACTTTATTTTGGTAACACATTTCTATTTGACAATTGATAATATTTCGAATTATTGTATTTGATGTGCAAATAGTTATGTTTTTTGGTTTGGAGATTTAAATTTTCGTTTGACCAAAGAGGACGACCTCTCACAAAGTGATATTAAGAAACTTGTTGATCAAGATCGACTCGAAGAACTGATACAACTCGATCAGTTATCGATGATTCGACGTCAAGGCCGTGCATTTACGCGATTGGAAGAACGACTACCGGCTTTTCCGCCAACATTTAAATTTGAACATGGAACATCTGACTATGATATGAAGTAAGTTTTTTTTTTGGTGTTTTGTTCTTACTAAATACATAAAATTATAATGTTTCATTGCAGACGACGACCAGCTTGGTGTGATCGAATTCTATACAAAACGCCGGAAAATACCTTCAAAAACATGGAATTAGTTACCGAACAAACATCGTACCGAAGCCATCCACAATTCACAATAAGTGACCATAAACCAGTCACCAGTGAATTTACGATAAATGTACGTACTCGCCGAATAATTTATGTTAAAATTCATGTATTAATTAATTGAACTTGTTTCAAAAGGTTTATGAAGATCCAACCGATAAATTTGTTGAATTTACACCGTTGCATATATGGAAAATTGGCGAAGAAAATACCATCGAGTACAAATTACCGAATGGCTTTGATGAAGCGCACAGTGATTGGATCGGAATTTACAAGGTAAAAAACCCATTTAATTACATACATTTCCCTAACCAATAAGTCGTGCCCTTTGGTTTCCAGGAGAACTTTGACACCTTAGATGATTATATCTCTTATGAATATACGTCACGAAGTAAAGCACCAAGCGGTGATTATGCACACGATCAAGTAATATACCATTTGGAGTTTCCTGATACGGTCGATCTTGAAGAAGATCATCGATTCGTTCTATTGTACTTCCAAAGCACCAAAAATGTCACCAGTTTGGTTGGAATCAGTGAACCATTCAAAGCCGAAAAACGATGTCCATCGCCTCGATTCGATTCCGTTGATTAGATTTAGTTGTTTTTCACATATTTCCAACACAGATTGGCTGTTATCAACAAAGAAAAATGACACGACTAAATTTGACTACAATGAGTACAATTGTCGCTGGACTTCAATTAGAATATTGTCTGTTTCACATGTTTAGTAATTCTATTGTTGTGCAGGAAAATTACCAAATCGTTTTGATCGCTTTAATCAAATGTGTTAATGTCACAAATTCACATCGAAATTGATAAAATTGGAAAATGTTACAAAAATTAATAGAAAAACTGCACGAAGAATTAACAATGCTTTCGACTCAAATTCATAGAATTGTCGCCTTATTATTCTTCAATATTCAGTTTTAGATACGTTCATTTATTCGCTTCGCAGCGTCAACAGTCTTTTAAATATCGATTGCTTCGTAATTTTATACTATTTTTGAAAATATGTTTGTCTGCCTGTCGATCATTTCAATCATTTATTTATTTACATTAAGCACTAATTTAGCGATGGATAATTCAAAGCCTTAAAACGTACTATGTAAATTACACACTGTTATCTCTGTATGCGAAGACAAATCTGACGCAACAGCAAACAAAGATATCGACACATTTGTTGTGAGTTTGCAAATCGTAGATTAATTGAAATGAAATAATAAGGACTATATTTCAACCATAAGTGCAATCAAAGCAATTCTATATAAAAGTGTGACTTGAATGTTCTATTTTCATATTCATTTTAATTTTTATATGTTTTTTTTTT